TACTACCCCAGAATTGACAGATTTCTTGATGCTCTATTCAGGAGCTGCTGTTTCATATGCTTGCTCCTTCAATATTCTGGAATGGAGACTGTCACAATCCTAAGGAGATGTGGGGCATCTTGCATGGTTTCTTGAGTTTATTTTACCGAGTTAGTTTAGTTGTCTCTACATATAGGTAATGCTGAACTGTATTTAGCCTTATTGTCCCTGGGTTCATATGCCTTGTGGTATTTGATTTAAAATGTATCTTTATATGCTATAAAAGGGGCAGGACTGCACAATATGTTGACTTTCAAGAAACAATGAGTTTCGTTGGCACCTAAGGAGAGGCAGATAAGCAATAATCAACATCTGAAGATAATGTGTTTAGTCATGAAGATGCCCTCATACACAATGTTAAATTTACATTTTAAAAAGAGAAACCCTAACTTGTTTGATGTGTAGAAACAGGGAGAACATTTCCTCCCAAGGGGAAATTAGGAGACGGCATACTGGATTAGCAGATCTCGCTGTCTGAAAGGATGCTCATATATTCCTGGTCCTAATCAGATCAGGAAAAGTTTCTGCTCTGGCAATGGCAAACATGAACCTTTGGACAGGGGGAGGAATAGGAAGTTTTATGCGTAGCATTGCCCCCACAAGAATCCAAGAGGTGACATGTCTGAGTAGCCAAATAAGCAACTGTCCCTAAGCCTGCCTTTGTATCATGGCTCTGTCTTTAGTCTCCCTGGATACAGGGGAGCCTGGACTCCCTCAGCATAAGTAAAGCAGACAGAGTAATGCAACATGGCAGGATAAATGGCAGGAAGCCCTGGCAAATGAGGTCAAGAGGGAGAAGATGCTTTTTAACCTGTTGAAGCTGGCTTGGGACTGTATCTTTGGATCGAATATGCAGTGTAAGAGGAGGTTACTGTTCTGGTCTTCTCTTTTGTTTGTTTATTTTTGTATCTCCACATGTGGTTACTGATTTCTTCCACAGGTTCTTGTTTTTTTAATAATAAATCCTATTTGTTATCAGTTTATCCACTTATAGTCAGTGTTAAGTGTGATTCCAGAGTATTTGACCATACAAGCTTGCCCAAAGACTGAAAAGGGGATCAATTTTTGCTAAGTGCACAATTGGACAAGAATGTGATTCTTCTAGCTGACAAAACCCCCTCTGCTGAGAGCTGGCAAGGCCTGGGAGAGACAGCTAAGGCTGAAGTGCCACCGCCCAAGGACTTGGCCCCTTGCACATCTCAGCTGATGTTAAGTGGCAACCAGCAGGGAAGGGTTTGGAGCAAAAAGGCTCCAAGGTGGGGAAGCACTACAGAAGTATGTCTCTCAGGCATATCTAGGCTGCATCTGGGGCTGGGGTTTATCAGAGATATTATCCAGATCCCTCACTTTCATTGCAGTAAGCAATCTAGGTTTTGCTTGCATTTCACAAATAATAATTTTCATTACTACATTCTCAGTTCCAATTGGGACCCTACAATCCTCATATAAGGTCCATTCTTATCAAAGACCAACTAAGCATTTATTCTGTACTTGGGCCATACTAAATGATATCCCTGATCTCTACCCTATCTTTAATGGACAGTCACCTATTTTAATTGTTTTATTCATGTCATCAAAGACCCTTTTACTGTTCTTTGTAAGGTCCAGCTTAACTAAACCTTTGGCCATTCTCACTTAATTCCTGCACTTTATGGCACCTGAAAGATAGCCCTCCTTACTAATCAATCCCTTTCCTTTGAAGACTTTTACTTTTAATATCTTGTTTAAGGCACCTCCCATCCAAATAGGTCCATAGTTCTTCCCTCCCATTTCTTCCTCTTGCTGGAGATGCAAGTTCCCAGCAGCTTGTGCATTTCTGTCTCTAAGGGCCTTGTTACACTGTAATTTTGGGCAGCTTCTGGAACTCTTAACCCCTGGATTGTTTTCACATTAACACTTTAAAGTGGTTTAAAACACTCAGTATGTGGCTCAAAGTTACACCACTCCTGGGCAGAGTTATCTCTGATCTGCACAACCCACCTTCTGCTCTATTAAAGTGTAGCCACTCCCCACAGATATGCTGGTCAGGTTGAAGTCCTCTGGCATCCCAGAACATAGTGACCCGTCCCCCATCCTCCAGGGGCAGATGGAAGCAGCTTCCCCCCAGCTAAAGCTGCTTGCGGGCATCTCTGTTCCCTGTGAAGAGGAGCCAAATTTAATGCTGCGGCTCATTCCTTTTCTGTCCTGCTAGGCAAAGAGTTCCAGTCCTGCAACTGCAGCAGCGCCCTGCTCCATGCATTCAATCCACAAGCAGCCCAATGAGAGCTGGTGGCAGTGGAGTCTGCTGCTGGGAAAGACGCTGCTCCAGGGTGGGGTGGCTGCAGGTAAACCTGGGCTGAGGGCGCAGGGCTCTGCCACTGCCCGTGTGTACACAGGAGAAGGTTTCTAGACTAAGGGTGCGATTACTCCAAATTCCATGCTAGCAGTAAGCCGAGCAACAATTGTGCAGTTCATGGTGTACTGTGTAACAAGACTCTAAGCAATTTCTTTAATTTTCAAAGTCTGCCCTTCTCAAACTTGAAAACCTTAAATACAGAACTGTTCTTCTCTGTCTTGTAGTTCATGCTGAACTAAATCAGCATATGATCACTATCCAGTATTATTTTCCACAACTAACTCTTGCATATGATCCTTGCTACTAAACCTGAACCTAAAATACTAATCTCTCTCATTGATTCAGTAACCGTTTGATAGAAAAATCTATCAGTTTGTAATGTACTATGATGTTGAATGTCATGTACAGTAATGTTATAACATAAACTACAATGCCCAGAAGCCTCCGGGGGACTGGAGGAATGAACTGCAGCATGCACTACAACTCCCAGGGTGGTAGGGGGGCAGGAGGAAGTGGAAGGAGCAGCATCAGAGTGTGGGTTGCTGCAGCAAAGAGAAAGAGGTTCATGGTCAGAGAGTCAAAAGGAGCAGCAAGCTTTGACTGTGAGTTGCAGCAGTGGGGCTCAGATGTGGAACCCAGGTAGACAGCAATTAAGCACTTTATGGGACCAGACACTGGCTTGGAGCCCTCTGACGTTGTGGGAGGGTTTGAGGTTCTCAAGGGTGTATATTTTATGGTGTTAGTGTTTTCTACCAGTTCCCTGTTCTTAGGTTATTTCACCACAGTGTCACTGTTTACTTCCTGTTAGCCAGATCCTAAGAGTATGTATCTTAATGTCAATGTTTATTTACCTGCATCTGTCCCCCTCTCCTTAGCCTGTTGGTTTGTGACCCTAATCTCCAGCATCTCCTGTATAAAAGTGGGAACTTCCCTTGCCAGATCCCTGGGCCAGTTCCTGGGGTTGTGGGGTTTGGTACAAGCAATTTCATCCAAGAATACCTGTGCCACATCCAAGTCATTACAGACCTCCTAGCACAATCCCTATGGGGCCCTTATTACCTTCCCTTCCCAGAATGATTTTCACCCCAAAAGATACTGTTGTGCATAATATATGACTTCACTGACACACAATACTGCACCATCATCTTTGCCCTATTTCTGTCTTCCATAACTAGCGTATGTCCTTCAAAACCTGCATTCCAAGGATGATTGCCTTCCTTCATAGTTCTGTTATTCCTATAATATCTGATGCCATGCCCCATACCAGGCTTTCTAATTCTTCCATCTTATTGCTCAGGCTCCTTACACCAATGTACAAAAACATTCACTTGCTTCTGTCTGGCCTTATCTAAGTTCCCAGGAGGCATAGGTACAGTCAATTTACTGGTTGAAATGCCTGCCTGTCTTCTACTTTTAACACCTTGCTTGTCAACAAGTATCTACCACACCAACATGAAACGGATCAAATTAATTTCATTTTGGAACTGTATCACATGTGAAAATCGACTGTCAGATTCCAATCCTGAAAGGATTCGTGACTTACCCTTTGCAATGAATACCCCCAAAAGTTAAGAGGCTCAAATTCAGGAAATCAGATAGGCACATGCTTAACTATCAGCATGGCTTTAAGTCACTTTTACTTCAGGGTAACATAGGCAATTGCTTGATGTTAAGCAGATGCTTTAACATCCTTCCAAAATAGGTACATTGTCTTTAACTGCAGTCTTAGTGATAAAAGCTACTGTAGTATCCTACTGACCATGCGGAGACTCATTAAGAACATAATGACAATATTATTAAAAATAAAACCATTTTATTTAGTCCCCTGCCTATATATGACTATGCAACAGGTATTGATATCTCATGATAAAACAGTGTAACACCATTAATACCATGCCACACCTCAAAACGTTTGCAAATTTAGTACTTTGCCTGCTCTTATTCAGCTTGTTTAACCTGGAGCTAATAAGATGAGATCACAGAAGAGAGAGCACAAGCTCTGTAGTCCAGTGGGAATTCCAGCAATACAATGCAGACCCGAAGGCACAATCCTGCAGTAGGTTGAAAGGCTGATTCATTGTTTCTGTACAGTTATTTGGGAAATCTTGTCATCAAAAGATGTGCCAGACATACAGCACTGTATATTTTATTTAAAAAAACCAAAACCTTACTTCCAGAGAAAATTAGGCCACATGGTTAAATGATTCAGAAGTCAGGGAACAAAACATTTCAGATTAAAGATACCTGTCCCCTTTGTGCATATTTCCTGGGACAGTTTTTAATTTCATGATTGCTTATATAATACTCTATTATCTCCCGCATCATCCCTCCTCCCCCCCCTCCCAACCCTGTAACCTTACTTTGGAGAATCTATTATGGTATTTTAATGGTTACCATATGCACCTCAATGTACCTGGCCAATATTATTCTGTCTGACTAAATGGAGTTAAATTAATTGAAACTACTAGGGAGATAAAGCCAGAAATGAAACAATGACAGAGATCAGACCCTTCCAGAGAGAGTATTAAGAATTCTGAAAGAAAACAACAGCAAGAGCTGCTACTCAACAAATGCCAACCTGTCTGGCTCCAACCAGCCTAACAGATCTCTTTTTCCAAGGCCAGAACCTAGGATCAAAGAGGCATTAAACCTTGAAGATGAAACCTTTGGTGAAACTGGGAGACATGCTGCAGGTGAGACTCTTATAGACATCAGTACTAAATTATATCAGTAGTGGCTGTTTCTTTCAGACCAAAAGGAGAAGGCCTGAGCTGAGTGGAACCTACCAAAATTATGTGGATAAGACTGAGGCAAATACAGGCCTTTTTAAAATCATCTTATTATCCTTTCCCTCTGTTTGTTATATACCTCTAAGGGACTAAACAACACATTTGCTTTGAAGAAGCCAGTTTGGGGTCAGTTTAATCAACTGTAGATCACAAGCTCCCAGAGAGAAGATTTCTTGTAGTTGCCAAATATCATAAAGTCTGTCACATTACCATGGTTGTGAAACAGCAGGGCTACAACCTAGAAATCCCGGCCAGAAGCTGCTGAACCACAGGGTTCCATCCTGGAAAAAGGTGAAAGAAGCCAAGTCTATCTCATGACACCAAAGTTTCCTGACACTTAAATGTTTAATTATGTGGCCCTCTGTGCTGTTATCCTCTAGTTTTTAAATGTAATTTCCTATGAGTTTTTGGTTCATTTGTTTTTAAAGAAGAAAGAGATTATAAAAAAAGCAATTCCATCATCTAGAACTTTTTGAGCAGTAACTACAGCAATGCCTGTTCTGGCCATCTTATGAGCTCCACAAAAAGGGTAGACCTTTTCCGGACCCACGCAGCAACTCAGCAAACTGTAGGAGAGGAACTGCCTGTGAATGCAAAGATATGGAAAGATGCAATAATAAAATGGGAGGAATGATCAATACAAAGCTTGTCCTCCTCAATCCAATAAAGATTCATTACACAAACTAATGTCACTCACTATTTACAGCCTGACTTTTGCAGATCAATTTTGAATGCAGAGGCAAATGCCCACAAAGTGTTGGGCACCTCCATCACATAGAAGTATTGAAATTCCTGCAAAACTATCTGCTGATACCAAGTCAAAATTTTAATTTTGCTCCTACTCAACATAAAACATAACATAAGAACTGTTTTCCCAAAGTCTTATTTTTTCAACACAGGTGGTCAATGCACTCAAATATGGTGCCTTTTCTGGCCAAGCAAGTTAGCAATGAAGGCCTTACTGCAGAGTGACCTCAGCAGCTCAACCAAGCAGCTTCAGCAAGTATCTTTTTGGACTAATACTTTCTAGTTTTAAAAATCCTAGGGCACTACCAACTATGATGCCTGCACGAACATTGAAACAAATGAACAGGGAATTAGTTTTCCCTGCGAATTAATGCAAAATAACTAACTTTTTAATATACAATTGCAGCTCTCTCTTCCATTCTGATAAAACAGGTCTAAATATTACTAAAACAAATCTAAATACTGGCCTCTTTTCCTTTCTGCTCAAAAAAACACATTTCAGAGTTTGCCACAAAAAAGCCTGCCAATACACTCTAACTTGATTAATTCATGTTACTGCAGGTTTGTATGATATCTCTGGATAAGACATTTAACTTCAACTGAGTTCTCACTGGAGTTTTCTCCCACTGAGGTGGAATTGACAACAGAATTGTTAATAGGCAAGAAGTTCACAACACAGACAAATAAGGGGAGTCTGTAAATATCGCCTGACAATTTGCAAAGCTATTTAGGTCTATAATTTTCAAGCAAGTTTTCTTGTTTTCTTTGTTTAAAAGTGTTGAAGTTGTTTTTCCTAGTGTTTAGATCAACATACATGGAAAAGGAAGTCCTCTAGTTAGGCTCACAATGAACACAGCCTGACTACCAGAAGGATAAGCCCCTTTAGAATGTGTACAGCACTAATTAATTTCCTTGCTAGATATTTCAATTGATAAACCATAAACCCTGAGAGTGTTTTCATCCTTAAAAGCTGCCAGACATGACAGCAGGAACTTTTCTTATTATTTTTCAATTATCCTGAGCAAATTCATGCTTCTTCTAAATTTAAAACATTCTTTTTCTCCAGCTGCCACTCCAGCAAACTAAAATAAAACTATTCTTTTTCTGGTTGACCTCATTTGCCACCAAAAGAACTTTGACCCATCAAAGGTGTGTCATGGATGCAGTTATTCTACAAACTCTGGTGTACACCTTTGCACTTCTTCAAGTTTACTTAACAATTGTGTTAATAACATATGAGCCAAAGCAACCCTCCCCCCTAGAACTTTATGAGTTCTATAATGCTAACCAGAGTTAAAACATATTGATATTACAACTAATATCTCAGACTAGGGGCTGGCAAAATATGGCCTGTGGGCTGGATCCAGCCCACCAGGCCATTCTATCCAGCCCAGGGGGGCCCTAAAAAATTTAGAAAATTAATATTTATCTGCTCCTGGCTGCCTGTCAAAGATGACAGGAGCCAGGGGCAGTAGGACCCAACGGGAGCCAGCAACAAGGCCAGCCTGGCTCCACCCCACCCCCATCCCCACCAACCAGAAGTCTCTGCCTGCCCCAGCTTTCACTGCTTCTCTGCGTGCCTGCTCCAGCACCATGTGGCCCCAGGCTGCATCACTGGACTGCAGGAGCATGGGGCCCGCACCAGGACCTCGGGGCCAGGAGTGGGATGGGGGGGTGGGGCGTGTGTATGTGTGTAATGAGGGAGGGAGAGACACAGAGAAAGCAATGAGGGGGAGTTGGGGGAGGGACAGAGAGAGAGAGAGAGAATAGTGTAATGTGGGAGGCACAGAGTATGCGTGTGTGCACTTAAAAAGAGAGAGAGAGAGAGAGAGAGAGAGTGTGCACATAGGTTGAGTCCCACAAGCACACCCCGCCATACATGCAGACCCCCACACCCATACCCAATCACATACTCCAGCTACCCTCCCCACACACACAGCTACAGTCCCCCATACCCACCCACGCCCCACATATCCACACATACCCACATGCTCCCTCCCCCCATACCCCCACAATCCCCCCCAAACATCCACACCCCACATACCCACAGCCCCCCACAAACCTATACACACCCTCCGACCCACCCCCCCGCAATATACAAGAGTAAGACTTCATTTTAAGCTATTGTGTAGTCACCTCTATGTACACTACACAAACACATGTAAATCAGGACAAAAATATTTTTTAAAATCAAATTAATGAATGTTGTAGATGTTTAATTTTTAGAATATTTTTAGAATATAATGTATTTTTCTGGTTCTGAGATGGCAAAAATCCTTGCTGAAAGGAGCACTCTCGGGGTCAAGGGGAGGGACTTCTGGTGGCAAAAGTCGGGGGTTAGGGGGCAGGACTTCTGGTCCCAAGATGCCAACCAGGGGGGCAGGGCTACCCATGTGGCCCCTTGACAGCTTGCCAAAACTTGGTAAGTGGCCCTCTGCCTGAAATAATTCTCCATCCCTGGCTCAAACTAATGTCACTCTACTTCCAACTCTTACTTGCAATTTAGCAGAGTGGTGTACTGAGGTAACACTTCAAGAAGGATTAGCAGCAACTGTCAAAACTCTTCAGTATTATTTGTCCTTCCAACATTATTTTATTCAGCTATTAACACATTTAAAGAAAGTTAAAGAAAATAAAAAATCCCACTTTAAGTAAAGAAAGAAAATAAATAAATAATAATTGGGCAAGTCATATCACATAGGTGCTCATGATACTCTGGTGTCGTACGGTAGATATGACTTCTTTCACCATTTCCAGGATGGAACCCTGTGGTTTAGCATTTTCTGGCCTAGCTTTCTGGGCGGTAGCCCACTATTTCACAATCATAGTAATGTGAGAGGCCTAGCCATATTTGGCAGCTATAATTAACCTTTTTTCTGGGAGCCTGTGATCCACAGTTGATTAAATTGACCCCAAACTGGCTTCTTCAAACTGAATTCTGTAGCCTAAGGTCTTGGCCAACTAGACTGTAAAGTAATCAACTGAGTTCTGGGATACAGACCTATCCCCCAAACTGCCAGACTCATGTAACTAACTGTCTTGATAGCAGGAAGCAAGATTTTTTCATGACATCTTTTACTAAGCCAGCTATATATTGGTAGAGAAGTTAGACAAGCTTTCACACACAAAATGCCCTTTCTCCAGTCTGGGAAAGAAGAATATACAACCTAAATTCAATACCAGAAAAAACAGTATAAGGTTGGCATATAATAGTCATGATGGTCCACGAAATAGATTCATAGATTGTTAGGGGCTGGATGGGACCCTGCAGCTAATTGGGTCCAGCCCTCCCCCTTTCCCCCCTCCCCCCCCCACTCTAGGCAGGAAGACTACTGGGGTTAGGTGACCCCAGCGAGGTGACTGTCCAGTCTCCTCTTGAAAACCTCAAGGGTAGGTGACTGCACCACCTCTGGAAGGAGTTGATTCCACAGTCTGGACACCCTGACTGTGAAGGAGTTTTTCCTGGTATTAAGCCTGAAGCGGCCTTCCAGGAGTTGTATCCATTGGTCCTGGTCTTCTCCAGGGATGCCCTAGTGAACTGTTGTTCACCGAGTTCCTGATGAACTCCTTCGATATAGCGGTAAGCTGCTATCAAGTCCCCTCTCAACCTTCTCTTCTTTGGGCTAAAGAGGTCTGAGTCCCTCAGCCTTTTCCCATATGGCTTGCCTTGCAAGTCCCTAATCATACAGGTGGCTCTTTTCTGGGCCCTCTCGAGTTTTGTCATGTCCTTGTTGAAGTGCAGTGCCCAGAACTGAATTCAGTACTCCAACTGTGGTCTCACCAGTGCTGAGTACAGCGGGAGTATCACTTCCTTAGTTTTACACAAGATGCATCGATTGATGCATGCCAGCGTGTTATTTGCCCTGCTGACCACCGCCTCGCACTGACAGCTCATATTCACGTGCTGGTCAATGTAAGCGACTGTGCCATTCACCAGAGCGCCTGGTGCATGCCAGTCTGTCAGATGGCACCGTTGTCTGAAGGAAGGATTGTCAATTATTGAGACAGGTCCCGGAGGGTCCTCAGTGGTTCTCGCCTGCCATGACTTTGCTGAAAGAAATGTATTTAGTAGGGAGGAAGATGTATGCTCTGTCCCTCCTGGTCCCCTCTTCGAACCTCCTGTTGATCTTCCTGTATTGGGGCTCTGCCTCCCCTACACCACACCTAACACCAACCAATGATGTCGAATCCCAGTCTTCTGGGTTTGGTCACGGTGTTGGTACATGTCTCGGCTGTTTGAAATGGTATATCACATACAGACGTCAGTTCGCCTCACTCGGTTCTTGCTTCAAAGGGACTGACCTAGCCTCTGCCTAGCCCCAGGTTACCTGGCCTCCTGGTGTCAGTTTCAATTCGCTTGGCTTGTCGTTGCCATAGCATGGACAGCTGTCTCTCCTTCTCTCCGCAGGTTCCTGGTTAGCCCAATCTGTCTGGGAGTTGTCTGGAATCCATGGATCTGCCTCTGGTAAGTAATACTGCCCATCTGGGCTTGCAATATTTCTCAAAATCCCCTCTTGGGGCTGCCACAACTTGCCCTCTGTGGGGGATGGTTCTGCACTGGGCTGCTTAGTGCCCACAGGGGAGCACGATTCCAGTCCCTCAGGCTTTCTGTCCAGCAGGGTTTTTATCTCTGGTTCCACAGGCCGGCTGGCGAATTGGCACCAGCACACGGCCATAAAGCAGGACCATGCTGGTGCGGGAGCCGATCCTGGCCTCTCCCGGATCAGCTGTTTTTTGGGGTTTTTTCCCTCAGCCGTGGTGGTTTCTTCAGCCATGGCTCTGTGCCCACAGCTCCCTTGGCTCAGTGTGGTCTCGCGCCGGCTCCACTCATCTTCCACCCCAGTTGAGCTCCACCCTGGGGTTCTATTTGTGTCATAGTCAATCATTACCCATAGGTCCTTTTTAGCCATGGTGCAAGTCAAGCTGTCACCACCGAGCCTGTATGTATGTTAAGGGTTGTTTTCCCCCAGATGGAAAACCTTATACTTGGAAGTGTTAAACTTCATCTGGTTCCAGTCTACCCAACTCTTGAGCCTATCCGGGTCTGCCTGTATCAGCAAGCTATCTTCTGACTTGACCACACTGCCCCATAACTTGGTGTTGTCCGCAAACTTGGCCAGCGAACTTTTCACTCCCCCATCCAAATCATTGATAAAGATGTTGAAAAGCACCAGACCAAGCATGGATCTCTGAGGGACACCATCGGCCACTTCGTGCCAGGACAACACAGATCCGTTCATGAGAACTCTCTGGGTCCCACCCTGTATGTGAGAAGTAAGCATTTTTTTGGTGACATCTTTTACTGGACCAACTGTGTAGTTGGTAGAAATGTTAGACGAGCTTTTGAAAACAAAGTACCCTTCCTCAGGTAAAACAATGACATTTTAACTCAATTAAATGAAAATAGTTACTTAAAGAAAAGGAACGGGGAAGCACACCTGTGGAGCAAAGAGAAGTTACCAGAAGTAGCTACTAAAAAAGCAGAGGGCAGAGAAAACTTGAATAAAATAATTTGAAAGGAAAGAGAGGCATTACTTGTTAGGGTACAAAAAGGTTACAAGACAGAACAGGTAAATTGTAAGAATCATCTTTAGTTTAGGACTGTCCAAACGGCAACCTGCAGGGGGTTAATATATGGTTTCTAGGCTGCCACCCAGCCACCACTTCCCCTTTCACTCCATGTGCTGCTGCAGGCAATTTCTCTATGCTCCCCTTCCCTCTAATTACTTTTGCTTCCTTTTCCTGGTCCTGGGGACAAGGAGGCACAGCCTGTGGTGCTAGCATGAAATGCATTGGTTGAGAGGAGGGTTGCTCATGTGCACAGTGTAGTGGCTGAGAAGGAAAGGGAGAGGCCAGCCAGCCACTGCCCAGGTGGGCAGCAACCAGCTATGGCATGGCTGGGTGGCCTCTCCCTTTCCCTCTCAACCACTGCACTGTGCACATGAGCAACTTCCCCTCAACCAATGCATTTCATGCTAGCACCACAGGCTGTGCCTCCTTGTCGCCAGTGTCGAGGGGGTTCCAGCCCAGGGCAATGGCTCTCACAAATATTTACCCTACTGCAGCAGGCTACATGGCATGTGGCCCCAGGTGTTTGAAGTTGGGCAGTTCTGACTTAATTAATGGTTTCTAGTGCACAATAAATGCAGACAAGGTTCCTTGGGTGAATTTGATATCTTTTATTAGACCAACCCAAATAGTTGGAGAATAGTTATTAAGCAAGCTTTCAGATTTAAAAACCCTTCGTCAGGCTAAGGAAGTTTCAGCAGTTGGTGTGTGCTCTTCCTGGATGGAATGAAAAGTTTTGCTCCCAGACCTATTTTCTGAAGATATTATATAGATATCTTTTGAATACAAGGATAGTAAGGTCAAAGATGGAGTGGTTGTTCAGTGAAAAATGTTCTCCCACTTGTAACTGGGTGTTTCATCATGTTTTTGTGAATTGCTTCTGGTGCATAATTGTTGTTTAGTTTCACCCACATAGCTTCCATTAGGACATTTGGCACATTCTATGAGATAAATCAGATTCTGTGACAGACATGTAGGATCTATGGATGGTTTCTGATGTTAATGTAGGAGGATTCCAGAGAAAGTTTGATAGAAGCATGTTCACTATAGGAGTATTCCAGAGAAAGTTTGATAGAAGCATGTTCATTTGTAATAATTTCAATATGCAAGTCCACACGCTCAATCAAAATGATGGAAATGTCTTCTGTTTATTGCAAGTGGAGTGCAGACTTGATGTTGCAGTTTTCTAAAAGCTACTTTTTAAGGTGGCTCATGGAGAGGTTGGCACACTGGGAGGCCATCTTTGTACCCATACCTATTGCCATGTTTGAAGGAGATGTCAACTGTTGAAAGTAAAACTGTTGTAGGGGAGAACGAAATGGATAAGTTGTGCAATATGTTCCAGTTGTAAACCTAAGTGCTGTTTGTATTCTTGCAGGTATTTCATGCATGCCTTCATGCTGTGGGATGTTAACTGTATGTGCTGGTGACATCCATATTGGAAATGTGGCCTTCTCAAGTAGGTGGTTTATATTCCATTTCCTGTTGTGAAAGTCTGTTCTATTATATCTCACAGAAAACTTGCTTTTTGAGTGACAATTGGTTTGAGGACAGTTTGTATGAATCCTGATAGTTCTTCAGTGAGGGTACCACAATTTGATATGATGGTTCTGCTGGGCTCCCTGGTCAGTGCATCTTGGGAAGCATGTGAAATGTTTCTGGGGAGGGGGAAGATCAGTTTGTGTCATTTTTCTTGAAACTTGTTGAGTCCTTTCTTGAACTCAAAGAAAGGATTTGAATTCAAGGGTGAATAGCTGCATTCTCACCATGTTCCTTATAATAGCTGGTGTCAGAGATGCATGATAGCTTCATAGATGTTGCTTTCTCAGTTGAGGATGATTGAGCCACTTCTTGACTGCTGGTTTGATCATTATTTTGTTGTCAGATCTTAGGGACTATCTAGCTTTCCTCTCTGAAGGGAGGTTGTAGAAGTGATTGTGTTTATTTCACTGTTAACTTTCTTCCTTAAATGTTATAGTCTTAAAAGTTATGTTATCAGGTAACAGTCACTTTTTGTACTAATTTGAATACACAGGACCAACAGCAAGACAGAGGAGCAAGAAGAGGAAGGGTTGGAAGCAATACCACTCCTTGAAAATACCAATAAATTGATGTCTGCTTCTACCAGCTGAGGATCTAGTCTGTAGTTTTCTTCCCCCCAAAATACAAATTATTATTTACTGAAGCATGTAGCACAGTAGAGGCCTGGCTTCTAGGAAGTATTGTATATCAAGAAGAAGATTGAGCCCTATGTTTGGATGATAGTTTGCAGAAATAAATCTTCCTAAAGGATTTACAATCTCAGATGGACAAAACCAAGAAAAGGTACCAAAGAAGAAAAGGAAGGGCAGGAAAAAGTTTACAAAGATGCAAATTATATGAAGTTAAAATGCATTCTATTTTTTTGATGAGGAAGGAACCTACATGTCATCCTCTCACTCTACTCGACCTTGGTGAGACCGCAGCTGGAATGCTGCATCCAGTTCTGGACACTGCACTTCAGGAAGGATGTGGAGAAGCTCAAGGGAGTCCAAAGGAGGGCCATACGCATAATCAGAGGTCTAGAGACCAGGTCATACAAGGAGAGGCTGAAAGACTTAGGACTGTTCAGCCTGGAGAAGAGAAGACTCAGAACAGACTTGATGGCAGCCTATATTAGGGGTGTACATCAGGGCCTGGGGGAGCATTTGTTTATCAAGGTCCAAGTGCAGGGGGGCTGGACCCAACGATCTTGTAAGGTCCCTTCCAGCCCCTAAATTCTATGAATCTTGTTATCTTACCTCAGAAGTTTATACAACTCTTTAAGAAAGGGTGACAATATGAAGAAAACATTTTTCAGTTGATTATCTAACAGTCATAGCAAAATAGCAACATCTTTCTAGGGTCCATGTCACAGTCATCATGCAAAAGGTGAGTTACTGTCTGGTGTGAGTTATGGTGATTTCAAAACTGTCATGCATTGCAGCTCCAGGATTACAGAAAATCATTGTGCATTTACTAATTAGGACCCTGTCAAACAGATACATGCCACAGTAGTGTCACATTTGTTCCTTTTCTGATTAATTGACTATAAGAGGAAAAAGTGGTCCTTTTAAAATGATTGACACTACATAGATAGCACCCATTTGGCAATCAGAAAACTGCCCAACATGTAGCATGAATAGTTAATGCCTCTACTGTTGCCAGGTCTGAAACTGCAGCTATGAAATACACTAGATTGGCAAGGTGCTCTGAGCTGCACTGTAAGGAGTCTTAGTGAGGTGGGAACAGCTGAACAAAGGCTTAATGCTGGCTCCAGTGTAATCAAGCAGAAATGACAGGGGAAAAACCAAAGGCAGGCTGTTACTTCATGGATTGCAAGGAACAACAAAATCAGTGATTTTAGTACCAAAATCCATGGGATTTGGCAAGTGGCCAGCGCCATCTGCATGACTTAAGTGGCTCCTACCCTTACTTGCAGGCCTCTTAAATGTCTTATACTGTATCAAGCTGGCTGCCTGTATCTTTGTGCTTTGTACCTAATTCTACACCTGCTGACTAAAGGAGTCAGACACCAGACATGACACTGAACTCAGGTTCCCAACCAGGGCTTGATTAACACATAGGCAAACTAGGCTCATGCCTAGGGCCCTAAGTGAAGAAGGGGCCCAGTTGTGCTTATTTTACATATTATAATTATTGAGTGAAAAAAGTAATATAAATATGCATTATTAAGTAGAGGTCCATGAGTTTGTTTGCCTAGGGTCCACTAAAGTGTTAATCTGACCCTGTTCCCAACATGGCAAAAAATTATTAAACAGGCCAAGGGTATCAAACTGAGGCCAGATGAGTTGCTCAGAGCTTGTCTGTAGGCTGGATCCACAGGCTGGATATGGAGCATGGGGTAAGTCCACAGGCCAGATCCAGAGCACAGAGCCATGTCATCTAGACCACAGAGCCAGAAATTTGGCAGCAGCTATAGTAACTGCAGTGACACCTATCATTTAGCCTGCTGCCAAATTTCCACCCGTGTGAGCAGCCCCACAAACAAGATGACACAAGCTCTGCACTACAGATCTGGCATGGAGGGCTGGAAATTTGGCAGTGAGGTGAACAGTGGCAAAATTAATTGTGGGAGCTCCCAGAGCTGCATAAATTAAATCAGCTACCTCTCACTCCTATCACCAAATTGTCAGCCCCCGTGGGTGTTCCTGCAGGCCAGATCCAGAGTTCACAGCCATGTCATCTGTCCCATGTCATCTGGCTGGAAATCTGGCAGTGGGATGAACAGTGGCTGCCACACCTCCAGAAGCTGCATCTATCAACACTGTCACCACTCACCTGTAAGGAGGTGTTCAATGTGCAGAAGTCTGAGATCCAGCTGTGGTCCAGCAGTTAAAAGTCCCTGTGGCTGGAAGGCTAGGAAACAGTTGCAACTGATGACCAGTAATGACAGTGGAGCTACAGAGACAGTGAAGAGCTCCAGGAGCAGAGGACAAGGACATCCATAAGAACTACCTCACAGTTGGGGTGGCTAGGATCTGGAACCAACTTCCAAGGGAACTGGTGCTGGCTCCTACCCTGGGGGTCTTTAAGAAGCAGCTTGATGCCTATCTGACTGGGGTCAATTGAGCCCAGTTTTCCTCCTGCCCAGGCAGGGTGTCGGACTTGAAGATCTACAAGGTCCCTTCCGACCCTACTTCTATGATTCTATGAAGG